GACGCTCCTCTGCAGGGGAGGAGGTAGGAGTCCTAGGGGGAAGCGTGCACCGGGGAGGGGGAAGGAGTCCCGGGGGGAAACGTGCACCGGGGCTTTCCTCCTCTGTGGGGGAGAGGAAGGCACATGCCGAGGATTCCCTGCCCCAGCCAACACCCTGCCCCCTGTTCCTACTGGCATCCTGGCCCCTGCCCCTCACCCCCACTGACACCCTGTCCTCTGCCCCAGCATCCACTAGCATCCTGCCCCAGTACCATGTCCCCTGCTCCCACCAGCACAGTTGGGGCCATATTTGTGAGGCTTTGGAGGAGTGTGGGTTTTTTTTTTATCTCACTTGTGTGGCCCCAATTGACTTTTCAGTGACCCCTGAATCAAAACGGGTTCTCATAAATAAAAACAATGCTGAAACTTTTTGTGTTTGACATATTTTATTTAAAAAAACCTGCCCCAGTACCATGTCCCCTGCTCCCACCAGCACAGTTGGGGCCATATTTGTGAGGCTTTGGAGGAGTGTGGGTTTTTTTTTTATCTCACTTGTGTGGCCCCAATTGACTTTTCAGTGACCCCTGAATCAAAACGGGTTCTCATAAATAAAAACAATGCTGAAACTTTTTGTGTTTGACATATTTTATTTAAAAAAACGACCTCCCTCCCCCCCCCCCCCCCCCCCCCCCCGACCCTAGATTTGAGCCTATCATACACTGGAACCCCCTGTCCTGAGCCTCTCACATGGCCAAACTCCTGCATCCCACATCCTCAGTCTTTTGCCACAACACTCCTACACCATCCACACACCACAAATCTGTATCCTGAGCCCATTTTACTCCTGACCTCCCTTCTCTGAGCCCCTCCCATCCCCCAAACCAAACTTCTGCACCCTCACATCCACAAGCCTGTGGCTCTCAGTACCCCAACCCTCCACCTGACCCCAACCCTCCCGAGCCTGGAGCCCCCCTCCCTGAGCCAGAATCCCCTCCTCCTGCATCCAAATACCCTCCCAGAGCTTGCACCTCTCACCCCTTCCCACACCCAAACCCCTAATTCCCATCCCAGAGCCCACACATCCTGTCTCAACCCAGTGAGGGTACAGCTAGACTGCAGGAGTTTTTCCGGGATTCCAGAGGTATCCCAGAAAAACTCTTCTGCATCCAGGGAGGTGTTTGTTCTTCCACTTGTTTTAGCGGAAGAGCAAACATGCTCTTTCAGTAACCCCTCTATTCCTTTTCCCATGAGGAATAAGGGGGCTTCCAAAAGAAGGGGTTTTTCTGACATTTGTTCCAGTCTAGACAGGCCAAATGTTGGAAAAACCTCTTCTGACAGAAGAATTGGGGAAAAAAGCAGCAGTATAATGGCTGGGGATAGCAAGTGATGGAGAGAAGGAGAATAGAGAGGGCAGGGCAGAGCAGTAGATCTTGGTTTGGGGCAGTAGATCTTGGCTTTTTCTGTCATTTAAAACGTGATCTTGAGTGTAAAAAGGTTGGAGACCACTGTATTAAATATAGTGCTGAATCCTCCTCTTTGGCCAAATTCTGCTCAGTGCAGCTGAGAGGCTTAGGCAAACATGGTTTTATGGCATCTGTATGCTCTTGGCCTAATTCTGATATTGCTTATGCTCCCTGTGCAACATAGAGAAGCCTCAAGATTGCTCTGAATCATGCTAGTTGGTAATAGCCCCTAAATGGCCATTTCATAGCACTGCCGTTCTATAGTCATGTGTCCTACAAAGCTGAACCACCAACTGGCTTATTAAATTGGACTTCTTCTTAGATTGAGCTACTGGTATTCTGTATTGCAGAGCAGGTGGATCATGGGGCAGGATTTTGTCCACTGTCTTTAGTTACATGATCACATAATATTGCTCAAACAATATATATAATATTTTCATTAAAGCAGACACATGTTTCCACTAATTGTTTTTCAATACTGTAAACTTATTTTAACAATATTAGACTATAGAAATGTATCTTTATTGACTTCAACTTTTATAAAGGTTCTTTTCTTTCTATGTTACATCTACAAAAAAATTAAACCTTGGCTAGGGACACATGAAGCTCCCTCTGTGCACTAGAAGGGCTAATTTCCACATTTCAATATTGCATACAGAAAAAGGAATAAGCAGTTTTTTTCACCTACAGGACTGTCACAGTCTGCAACAGATGAAATAGTATGTTCTAAAAATACTACCTGCATTAAAAGAAAACTATTGTGTGATATAGTGCTGTTTCAGAAATAATGGGATCATATAATTAGAGACTACTACAAGTAACCAAAGTTAAAACCTCAGGCACGTTAACATTACTTTTCCTGAGTTTTGAAAGCTTAACTCTATAGCTTTAATAGTCTCCTAAAACAACTTTTAAAAAACTTCTGTTAGTTTAAAAAAAAGAAACAAATCATGGGAAAACTGCTAAAATTAGGTTTATTCCTTTGCTGACTTGCAAAAGATTGGCAACCACATAAAACTCTTTGGCTAGAAAAGAGACCATTTTATCCCAAGATCTCTGGAAAATTTCCAGGAGAGAAGCCCTCTCTTCACACTTTAGAAATCCCTTAGCCCTTCTCCTGTAAGCTTAAGGTACTCTGAGAACCTTGCAAAGAAGTGGAGGAAGTGATGCAAATGTTCTTATAGACACATTGCCTTTTAAGTACCTGCCAATTAAGCAGCTACATTAAGTGTTCACTCTTGAATAGTATAGCCTCTTTTAGTTGTATAAAGTAAATATTACTCAGCTATGACACATTAAGTCTTATAATTCAGTCAAATCAAAAATATTTTTACTAGAACAATTAAAAGCCCTTTTACTCAATAGAGGGTATGACGGGGTGTGCATTCCCCGCACTGATAAAACCCTGTGTGTGGAGGAAGTCTCACCCCTTCATCCAGACTGGGCATGCTCCAAATACTGGAGCAGCATAAAAGGTAGCAGAGCAACTGAGTCTGGGCTGGCCACTGAAGGAGAAGGACTTTCAACCGGAGCTTCACCAGACAGTGGTGACATAGCCCCAGCAGACTGCTGTCAAACAGCCCCAGAGCAACCCTAGGGAGAAGCAGCTGCCAGGGAACCAGAAGACCCAGCCACTTCATGTGATGCCATCCCAACAACACCAGTAGGAAGTGACCAAGGGAGGTTACAGGAGCAGCCTCTTCCATACCGAGGTAAACTTGGTGTGTTTCAACCAAATTCCCTGCTGAGGGAGCGGTAGACCACTCAGCCACTCACAAGGCCCTGAGTTGGGACCTGGTAGAGTAGAGTGGGCCTGGGTCCCCCTACTGGGGTCCCAACTTCCAACTTATTGACTTTGGCTACCCAGCTGCGATGCCCTGAGTTAAAGGGCCTTCCCAAACTGACTTCGGGTACTTGAATGGGCTACCCTCAGAGGGCTACCTCTCATTTGACTCTAGCCATTAAGCCATATTACCCTGGACCAAGGGCTGGTGCTTATAGACCACGAGAGAAAAAGGCCGATGATTCAATGGCTGATTAGGAGGCAGCCACGCTACTCCATGCAAGATTTGGGGTATGCTGCGACAGAGGGCTATTTCCATACCAAATATAAATGTATTATCCATAGCTCTTTAGGGTTTAAATCTATAAAAATAAAGCTTTTTAATATAGCGGGAAAGAATATTTTTCCAGTGCTCTACTTGTACTCAAAATCAACTCAACCATTTTTATTCAAATTACCATAAACTTTCAACTTTAGGAAATAGTCAAGCATGGAAAATTTCTGTACAAAGAGTAGAAGTTTGGGGAAACTATGAGTGAATGAAACCAGAGAAGTTTGAAGTGAAACTATTATGCAGTCTCAACTATTGATGCAGCTGGTAATTTTGTTATATTGTAGGCATCTAGAAAAGGGAGAAAACAATAACTCAACTTCCATTCTTGCCCATAAGTTTGAGTCCCACAAAGAAGTATGGGCAAGCTGCAGGAGAAAAACTGACCTGTGAGGTGAGGGTGATGCTTGGCTGAGACTGCAGGAGGTTGGCTTGGCTTTGCTGAGGTAGTTGCGTTAAGAGATTCTGCGCTTGCAGGAGACCTGAAAAGAGATAAGGGTGGTTTTGCAAATTGTTTCAGAAACTTTACAAGCTGGGCTGAAATAAAGCATTGGGGGAGGCTGGCATCTCCAATACTCCTGCATTCCTGTAAAGCATAGGGAAATGCAGAATTACTTCGGCTGTGATGCAAACCCAAGTGCTGATTGGAGCTGAGCTTATAGGTTGGAACGGTTTAATTTAGTGACAGTACTATCAGATTAATACATTGGAGGTGTGAGTTTGCTTCCCCTTTTTAGTTTGGCATTTAAACAGTTAGAAGACAGCTGAGGTTTGAAGAGCTAAGTAAAAATAAACTGAAACCTCTAAGGAAGGTAATTAAATGTTACAATCTGCACAATACATTTCAGCTGTTGGAACATCCCTTTACAATAAAAGAAGAATTAATTGGCTTTAGCAGATTAAAGTAATACACCACACAGGAGAAACATATCTAATCATTTGTTAATCTAAAACAGAAAGTCTGAATCTTTAGGAAGGAGTAATTAGATTTCAAATGCTGGATAAAGTACTGAACATTCTTTAGGCTGCACCAAAAATTGAACCTATCTACTACCTGTAACTGGAGGTTCTTCGAGGTATGCATCCCCTATATGTAATTTAGAGGTGGGATATGCATGTGCACCATGAGCTTGAGTTCAGAATGGTCAATGGACACTATTTGCAAAGCAATGCATACACCATAGCTCTCCTCATGCGCTGAACCAAGAACATAAAGCACCGTTTCTCAAAGTGGTTCGCAGACACACTCTGAGAAATCTGCTACCGGGCAGCTCCGGTTTGATTACTTACCGTCTCTACAGCCAAGGAGCCTCATGGCTCCCACTGGCTGCAGTTTGCCATTTGCAACCAACAGGAACCAGGGGAAGCACTGTAACTGGGGCCGCTGCTTCCTGAGGCTCTCCTTTGCTACAAAAGGTGAATTGCAGCCAATGGGAGCCACAAGGCTCCTTGGCTGTAGAGAGCAGGTAAGTAAACAAACCAGAGAAGCCCAGTAGCAGCTCTCTGAGTGAGTCTGCAGACCACTTTGAGAAACACCGGCATAAAGGATGGCATGGGCTGACACTTCTCCAGTTTCCCAACCTTACCACTATTCAAACAGTTGACGGGAAAGGAGATGGATGATGTGTATTAAAAAGCAGGTAGGGACCATATACTCAAAATACCTTCATAGTTACAAATAAGTAGTCTCCATTTTTTTTTGAGTTAAGGTCCCTATTTTTATTCCACATATGGGAGATTAACATACAACAGTCAACAGAGGGTGCGTGCAAAGACACAGAAGTGATAGCTGACTGTAGTACTGCTGTTCCCACAGCTATAGCCACAGTGGATGACTGGACCAGAATGTATACCTTGTGAGGGTAGCAAAGAGCCTCAAGTAGCAGCCTTGTGTGTCTCTAGGGCTATGTCTAGACTGCAAGCCTCTTTCGAAAGAGCCTCTTTCGAAAGAGCGCGTCTAGACTGCACGCAGAATTTCGAAAAAGCAAGCCGCTTTTTCGAAAGAAAGCACCCAGTGAGTCTGGATGCTCTCTTTCTAAAAAGCCTGTTTGCTGTCAAGAACGCCTTCTTTCGAAAGAGCACTTTCGAAAGAAGGTGTTCTTCCTCATGGAATTAGGTTTACCACCGTCGAAAGAAAAGCCGCATTCTTTCGATTTAATTTCAAAAGAACGTGGCTGCAGTCTAGACGCAGGTGAAGTTTTTTCGAAAAAAGTAGCCTTTTTTCGAAAAAACCCCTGAGTCTGGACACAGCCTAGGAAAGGTCAGTCTCATCTACACAGTTGAAATAACTTGCCCAATAATGGAAAGAGTCCCTCAGGTAGGGGATATGAGCTAGTTGGTAACAAAGGTTAATATAGCCCATGATCCATTTTGAAAGTTTGTGTCAGTATAGCTCGATCCTTTGATAACTCTGTGATGGAAAGTTTATTAGGTCTCTTCTAACATTCTTTGTTATTTGCAGATAAGTCCTAAGCCCTTCACACATCTAGAGAATCAAGCCCTCTCTTTCATGTGACACACATGGTTAAGGGAAAAAAAAAACCTTATAAGTGGATTACCTGACTCGTATGGAACTGAAATGACTTTGGAAATGAATCTCAGTCAGAGCTGTAATGACACCTTTCCTTTATAGAATGGGAGTAACGTGAGTGGGACTAACGTGAATGTTCCCCGCTCACTGATTCTTCTGGCTGACATTAGGGCTATCAGGAAGGCCACCTTCATAGGCAGATGGGCCATAGACCATGTGTCTAGAAGCTCGAAGGTGAGTTTACTAAATGATAAGATAAATTTGAGGTCTTGCTGAGATATGAACTACACAAATGGTGTAAAGGATATGAGAATCCCTTTCAGGCATCTAGATGTGACAGTACGAGTGAATATTGTACAGTTATCCATATAAGGATGGAAAGTACTAATCACTGCTAAATATACTTGCAGAGAACCAAGTGTGAGACCCCAAAATTTAAGGGTAAGTAGATAATCTAAGATTACAGGGATGCTGAAGCCAAGCTGCACTGGTGAACCCAAGAGGAGAAACATTTCCACTTTGTTGAGTAATAGCTCCTTGTAGAGACTTCTTTTTCTTTTTTGGTTAAGGATGATATGCATGGCATTCTTATGCTTTAAGAAAATATGATTATGATATGAATGGCATAACTAAAATGATTTATGTAAGATTCTCATGTATAATATAATTGGAAAGGTTGAGACTTACTGACTATGATTATCCCATTTGTATGCATGTATAATTTTTGTAGATGAAGCTAGGAATTCCTACTTGTGTATCTGTATTTTATATTTGCTACTTTGGATCACTTCCCCCTGCTGACACTTCAGGGACTACAATGGAAAAGCCAGTAAGGGCATAATGGCCCATCAGCTACTATAATGGATTGTGCAGTGGATTGGTCTTCCTAGAGACCCTTCCATGCTGCTACTGTCTCATGGATGATGGACTCAGGTGACCTGATTACCAGATACTGACCAAATTCTTAGTTTGATGAATTGTTCCACAGAGGGTACGGGAATCAAACAAAGGCTTCCCACCTTATAGAAATTCTTTATAAGGCAGTGAAGGAAAACAATGATTAGCTTTACCTCTGCCCGCTCCCAAAGAGAGACTTGAAAATACCTGGAAACAAAAGGACTGTAACTGAAAGGGGGTGTGGGGCAGGGGAGAGAACTGCTAAATCCAAGCCCTGAAGTTTCTCTTTCTGTAGTCAAATTAAATTTTACCCTATAAAACATGAATCTCATGGGGGTCAATGTGGATTTTTCATGACTGACAAATACCCCAGGAAGGCTGAGCAGACTGCACATTGGACTATCACCTAAGAACTGCCCATCAGAAGGCAGTTGTTGAGGTAAAGGAAGACTATAAATCCCTCTTTTCTCATCCAAGCTGACACTATTGTAAAGAACCTTGCTAAACTAGTAAGGAGGACTCTGAATTGGTAAAGCTATTGATTGAAGAGGAACCACCAGTTGGCTGGCTTGATGTCTGAGAAAATATGCATCTTTCATATCAAAAGCAGTGAACTCTGTGTCCTCCAACATGGAAATTACTGATGCCAAGAATATCATGTGGAATTTTAGTTTTGGAAAGAATCTGTTCAACTCTCTCACATCAAGAACTGGCTACAATCACCCATTCTTGATCCTGCCTTGAGGGCGGGGGGCTGGACTCGATGACCTCTCGAGGTCCCTTCCAGTCCTATTATTCTATGATTATTCTATGATTCTTACTGGGAATGAAATTATGAAAATGGAATCCCTTTCTTTGATATTGAGGTGGAACTCTTTCTATGGTATCGCTTAGGAGAAGAGTTATCTGTTGATACAGAATCTCACTATGAGAGTGGTCCATGAAAAGAAACCACAAAGGGCACTTGTGGTAGCAGGTACTAGAAACTTGATCAGCCATGTGCCATGAATAATCATTTACCTTTAGTTGGGTCTCCAGTTTTGGCAAATTGGGTAAAGTAACATCCAAATACCAAAGGAGAGGAATGAAACAGAACCCATAAAGAAACATGGATGTCAGTAGTCCAATCAAAAGAAACTAGGCTCAAGGTTTACAATATGTGTCAGTGTATATTGCAGAGGCTGAGTTCCTGAGTTTATAAACTCTGTCTCTTGCATGGTAGCTTTTGAGGTTGTTGTTGGTAAAACAGTTAGGGTGGTGATCTTGGCCTATATCCCCAAGTATAGTGTTTTCTCTTAGGGGCAGGAGTATAAATGATCAACAAACGAAGCACAGTTTTTGAGGGAGTAGACAGACATCCATTTTTGTCATGGATTAGGTTGATAGTATTGAAGGACAGATCTTGGATGGTACTTTTCATTTCTCTAGGGAAAACTGAGGATTGTAACCTTGAGTCAATCTTCATAAGCATAGCTGTAGACATTCCCTCTAAATACAGTATCTGCCACATTCACCACAGCTTGGAAGGAAATTTTGGCTACCACTCTTCCATCATCCTTTAAGGCCTAGAAACAGGCTCAGAAAGGAGCTTGTCCTTTAATTCCAAAAACTTCTTATAGTTAGTAAATCATATTTGGCCAAGAATGCCTGATAATTTGAGATCCTGAACTCAAGGGAGGTGGACAATAAGACCTTTCTCTCTAAAAGGTTGAGTTGCTTGCCCACCATATCAGCCAGAACAGTCTTTAGATGCTATTTCTGGGGCCACTGTATGACTTCCACCAAAGAATTAAGCAATGAATAAGAACAAAAACTCTTCCCCCTTGGACTGAACAAAGCAGCACTTCTTAGCCCTCTTAAGGGAGGGAGCACAAGAAGCAGGTGTGCGCCAAACCATCTTTACCAAGTCAATGATGGCCTTGCTGATGGGGAGGGCCACTCCTCTAGGAGTGGAAGGCTGTGGAATGTCCAATAAACTGATGAGTTTCTTGGATTTTCTCAAGCTGAATCTATAGTTCTACAGCCACCATGAGCTTTTGATATTGTTTGAAGTCA